TATCTGAAAATTTGGAGAGCGACTCAATTAAACCTAACTCCAAGATGATATTTATATTAAATGAGATGCATATGACCATCCGTAGTTGAACAATCGTAAATTTTCCTAAGAGGTGACTTGTCTCCGTTTCAGTGAAATAGAACAAAACCAACTTATTCGCATTGCAGCAAATAAAAAAATAGCCCAATATGTCAACTTTGAAAAAGCATTGGTGAGCGAAACAAAAATAAAACATGTATTAAAACCTTGACGACACCAAACAATTGCTCATTCTCACAATATATAGATACCATAATGACATGATAAATAAAAACTAATCAAAAAAGATTAACTTAGTATGCAACAGTGCAGAAATCAATAGGAGTGGTCTTACATGTAATTGAAAATAAAAGAATGCTAACAGATAAAATACATGCATGTAGCTATCGCTAAATAAAAGCGCATAAATACGAGAATATTACAATGTATTTTGTCCAAAACACTGTAAGTATGAGACGTTTTAACACATTCCTGGAATCAAACGTCCAATTACCCATTTTCTTATTTATTACCATTATATTTCCACACTTTATGCCTACTCCAATAAACATTCGTCCAGTACCACACTCTTTTTAGTGCTTATACTTTGTTTGGGGAGTCACTTTATAATATAGCTGTTTGTTTATTCGCTGAAGAAGTGGCTTACACTGAGTCACGAACTGGTCAGAAAATCTAATTATTCTACTCAGTGGAAAATTATAAATACATTAATTTATTTATGGTCGTTTAATTCACAGCACCGATACCTCACCTACAGCTCAGAAGTTTTGGCCGTAGAACAAGCATCAATGACTCTGACATCTCAAAGGGAGGGAAAGTGGAGTTACTGACCGGCAAGCATTGATGGCGCAGACATTAACTTTAATCCACTTGTAGTTTTGAAACTGAACATTTTGATTTTTCCAGACTATTCAGGATTGAGGACGCTCACTACTGGGACTCATGCTTCCAATCTTATTTTGAAATTGGAATTCTACCAAGGGGTCTTATAACATGGTAACACGGACCTTTACATTACGACCTAATGGCTGGCATCAAATGAAAGCGAAAAGAAAAGTAAAAAACAGAAAGTTAAAAGACGAAGTTATTATCGTTTCTTAACACTTCATTCTCTTTTGATGTAATTTTCATTGTTATAAACAGCCCCGCTTATTCAGGTTTTGACTTCGCTTACATCAATTGAACTCAAAACCCCTTTTAAATATCGCAAATCAATGTTCTTCATTACTGTATCATCTTATCTGAAGGCTCTAACCACACTTCACTCTAGCAGCAGCAAGTAGTATGGGTTTTATCTGCTAATTTATCATACCATTTTTTCTTCCACTACAAGCTGTTAAGCTTTGTTTAGAGTTTATATTTAATTGACTCTCTGTTCTTTTTTCTCTTTTCGTAAGCATCACGCTCTCAGAGAATGGACATGAAGCTTTTGATACTCGAAACAAACTTGACGTAGGTGTGTCTTCAAGGTCACAGCTAATACTGAATTTGAATTTGCTTTATAACAACTACAAAATTAAAAGTTTTATTGCATAAATACTTAGCACGACCATAAATCTAACACAATAATGTTGAGTTTGAACCAGGTGTGTAACGTGGATGCGCTGCGGTTTTTTGAAAAATAGCTTAAAGAAACCGCACTCAATGCAATACTAATCATTAACCTCCTGAATCATCTACACGAGTGTACTGTCTTTTATTTTTAATGCTTTGGTTTATTAAACGATCCTACTTGGGAAATAAACCGTAAGCAAACCAATGTCGTAACTTATACAACGTTTCTGTAAAAGTGGCGTGTACTCGCCCTTGCCGAAATGTATAATATTATTACCCTGTGCCACAGAAAATTTTAACTCACATCGTTGCGATATTTTATATCTTTAAATATAATTTGTTCTCATATTGAAGGAATAATCCTCGGTTTTTTACCAATCAGGTTAAAAAGACTCAAAGGTGAATTTTGAATGATTTATCGTATCCCTAATACGCATAAAAATATTCTGAAATATCTAATAAAGCTCCTTCACAGGACTTAAGGGAAATACCTTAAAATCAAGGATGCAGCACTGCAAGCTGGACTTTATTCATATGCGCACCTTATAAGTTACTTACATATGATATAATATGATATATTTCTGCAAGAGGAGGCACACGCAGTTTTACTTATTTGCGACTGTTACTCTTGGTGGAGAAGCGTAGTCCACCCACCTGGTGTCTCCATCAAACTCTGTCCCGGGCGAATGTTCCCAGTTGTTTCTGACCGCTATTCATCCTTATTGTGTTTGCTTCCAATATCCGGCCTATTATGTTCTATGGTCTTCCTCTTTTCCATTTTTCTTCAGGGTTTCAAGTAAGCGATCGCCTCATGATGCACACCCATCATCTCCTAATCTCCTCTCCAGCTGGTAGCTGGTTTGTTCTCCTCCACTGTAGGTTGTTGTTCATCGTATCAGACCAACGGATACTGAGCATCTTGCGTAGACAACTGTTGATAAATATTGTGCCTTATTTGATGATGGTTGTGGTAATTCTGCAAGTTTTAGCTCTACACAGTAGAACTACCTTGACGTTCGAATTGAAGAATGTGACTTTGATATAGGTTGGCGGTTGTTTTGAGTTCCTTATGTTCTAAAACTGTAGGAATGTGGTCTCTGCTTTGCCAATCCTCGCATTTACGTCTGCAGTTTGGGTGTCAAAACCCTTTTACTCGGTCATACCACAGACTAGTAAGTGAGCTGATTTTACTCTATGGGATAATAAGAAGTGGTTCTGGATCTATTACATCCTCTCTTTTTTTCATATCAGATCAGGACAATTCAGAGTATATTACAGAAAAGTACATAGGCCAAGACTGAACAAAATATTCTTGTCATACACGTTTTCACACTGAGTCACCAGTTATTTGAGTCTGTTACCCACCCATTCAATTGGCTCATTCAAGAGTAAGCTAAACACGCTCAGAAGCTTACTAGAAAATGACTAACACAGGTCGTGGTCCACCTGTCCTCAATGCATAAATCTGAGTCCGCATATTATGACCCTGAATTCCATAACTGATTCTTGAACCGTTAGCATTTATAAAGGTAATAAAATCCCAAAAATAAATAGATCTGTAAGTCTTCAACGTACATACTCAATGAATAAATATGCTTCCAAAATGACATTTTATGTAACTGTGAAAACTTATTTAAGCAAAAATTTAAAAAGCAGAGTGGAAATATAAGTGTAAAACAAAAATGAGATTACACATATCATGGAATAAAGAATTTTGCATATGAACTGAATTCATATCATAGAATCAGAAACGTTAATTATCGCAGTACCAAGGTAAGAACCACTATTTCGACAACAGTAAAATTAAACACCATATCCAGTTGCCACTGGATATATTTGGACGTAAACCTGCCACATTACAATAGCGTACTCATCGACTCGAGCAAACGGAGGTCAGTAGACGGTGATACTAAATTATCTGTTTGTGGAATTTCATTTACTGGTTGTAAATTATCGCCTGTAACTGTTGAGCAGATAATCAACCCTTTTGACCAGCGGATACTCAAAAATACCTCAGACTGTAACAAACGAGATCAAAATTACCCTGCGCACTGACTAGCTCCAGAAAAGCTAAAGTTGGCTAGAAATGAGTCCAAGCACATTGTAAACTTGGTAATTATTCGGCCTTCGAACTCCTTATGAGCATCTCCCTTGCACATGATTCTTAGAAGGAACATTAATGATTGACGTTCAACTAGTAATCATCAACGACAGAATACGATAACCATTGTCGATTGTTACCACTTGCCACACGTTCACGACCTGATAGCTACCTTAAAAGGTACAACTGTCCTTCCGAAAATCGACTTGGTTTGAACATACAACCAAATTAATATGGCTGCCGATGACATTTCCAAAACCACCATCACCACCGTCAAACTATAAAATTTTGTTCATACCCCCCGGTTTAGGGAATGCAGTTCAAACTTTCCAGAGATTCATCGATGATGTCTTTAATGATCTCATCTTCGTACACAAATTTGTGGATGACTGATTGAGAGGAGGTCAGGACGGAGAATCTCATCTCCAGAATCTTGACCGTGTTTTCGAACGGCTGCTGTGACACGGCATTACTGCAAACATTCAGAAATGTCAGATTGGAACCGACTACCTGAATTTTTTTCGGACACTCTATTGATGCTCAGATCAACCAGCTTGTGAAGAGTCATGGTGGCTGTTTTGTATTAACCAGAAAAGACCGAAGTTAAGCAGTTACGTACGTCCAACGATCTGGTAAGGTTTTATTGATGTTTCATACTGAACTTCACATCTCCTATGGGACCCTTAACAGACCAACATCGTGGAAAGGTTAAATTTATCAATTTGGAGGCAATTCAATAAAGCATTCCACACAGTTAAGGAAAGTGTTGCAAAAACAATTGTGCTCGCACACCAGGACATAAAAGTAACCATTGGTATAGCAGTAAACTCAACGGACTCGGGAATCGGAAGAGACTTACAACGATCAATAAGTGAAAACTGGAAACGTTTTAGCATCCTTCTCAAGACGGTTGTAAGTTACCAATTCGGGGTATGGCACATTTGATCAGGAACTCATGGTCGTTCGTTATGCTGTACGGCACATTCAACACTACGTGGAAGGCCGAAAGTTCACGCTGTTCACTAACCATAAACCTCTCAAAGTCTCTCCAAGCTCGTCATTCTACAAGTCCTCCCCTAGACAGTCTCTACAACTAGACTACATTTTGTAAGGTCAGGTTTCCAGAACACTTGAACGACTGCTGTGCATAGCAAACCGCATACCATTTTCTTAAATCTCGTTCATCTGTATTAATGTGTCAAGAGAAACAAACATGTTCTTTTCTTGTGTGCTCGCATATGCGTATATTTCTCTTTCAAAAAAATCCAAAGAATAACTGTTATGTGAAAATGTTTTATTACGCTATCAACCTTGTCGGTTGTCTGAACTCAAGGGCATATCTTTAAACCCGTAGTGTGCTTGGTGTACTTACTTTAGCAACTGTCCTCAGTATTTATTACTGTCATGGTAAGTCGTTGTGGTTTAGGTATAAATTTCGATTTATTGAATCTAATAGCATGGTCTATTACTCACCAGAATAAACTGGTAGAATATAATCATTTCGAAGAAATCTTACTGAAAACTTGTTGGTTTTATTAAAATACTATCAAAAACCTGTGTATGTAATGCTGCGGATTTTATCCCTCGAATTCATACATTTTATAAAAGTCTCTGCAGGCGAAAACAGGACTTTTTAAGAAAAGAAACTCAGAATTTCCATTACTTTTATAAAGATTCTCAAAATGTGCTATTAGTTTGCTCATGATTTCGGAAGGCACAGTAAACGTATAAGATCACTCTTCCATATATTCAGTGACGTTAGAAGAATCTGATTTTCAAAAGGAAACGTCCCTCCTTAAAGTTCAGAAATCTAAATCGTAATAACATCTTTTCTCCCCATCTGTGCCTTTATAAATCTGGTCGTCTAGTTACTTCAAAAAGCTAGCTGTTGCTTATATCACACCACATTATTTGTACCTGATGTAAAAAATAGGCGGTTCTGACCAGATGGCATATTATCTACATACCAGAAGTCAGTCAGCTACAACGTAGGACCAGGCACATATATGCATCGGTCCAGGTTGCCATACCTCGTTAGCACAGCAATATGAACACCGGATTCATAGGAGTGGTTAGGTTAAAGGTGGTAATATATAGAAGAAAGATTGCATATAAGGATACAGTATCGGAACATAGAATTAGTTCGTAGAAAGAAAGATATGAAGCGATTTTAATCTCATAGTTTAAGGGAAGACAGGGAGTGTATACACCGACGCCATTGTGACCGATTCTGAGCCATGTCACCAAAAGTCAGTCAGTCAGCTACAACGTAGGACCAGGCACATATGTGCATCGGTCCAGGTTGCCATACCGCATCAACACAACAAGATGAACACCAGATTCATAACAGTGGTTAGGTAAAAGGTGGTAATATATGAGAGAAAGATTGCATATAGAGATATAGTACAAGCAGAAAGAATTGGTTCGTAGAAAGAAAGATATGAAGCGATTTTAATCTCATAGTTTAAGGGAAGACAGGGAGTGTATACACCGACGCCATTGTGATCGATTCTGAGCCATGTCACCAAGAGTCTCCGACCATTGGTTACGATAGTCACGCGGACCCCAACCAAGTAGTCTGCATCTACCAACATGGCTCAGACTAGAAGTTATTGACTTCAAGCACTGATGCCACGTTTTGGTTTGGCCGCCCCTAACTTTCTTCCAACCATTTCCAATACCGGATAGCATTGCACGTCGTGGTAATCGGTGTTCAGGCATACGTAACACGTGGCCCATCCATTTCAGTCGATGAAGATTCATAACCTCATCAACTGATTTACCATCCTTTCCTAATACCCTGTATCTAACCTCACTATTACTTACCCGGTTATCCCAGCAGATGCCAGCAATATTTCTTAGGCATCTGTGGTCAAATACTAGTAGCTTACGAGTATCTTCTACTCTTAATGGCCATGTTTCGCTGCCGTAAATTGAAACAGAACGGACTGCCGCGCAGTATACTCGTCCTTTTATTGATAGACGGATATCTCGCCTTCGCCACAGGTGACGTAAGTTGGCAAAAGCCAAACGAGCTTTTCGAATCCGTGCTGAGATTTCGTCCGATACCAACCCATTAGGGCTGATCAGACTTCCAAGATAAGTGAAGTTGTCAACGCGTTCGACTACTTCACTCCCTATCCTTAGTTCAGGTGTTAACGCAGACCAGTCCTGAAGCAACAACTTGCATTTAGAGGGAGAGAAGCGCATTCCAAACATACTGGCATTGTTGCTCAGTGCTACCAGAAGACTCTGCATTTTGTCAGCGTCTTCACCAAACAGGACTATGTCATCTGCGTATTCTAAGTCGATAAGTGGACCTCCTGGAAGGAGATCAATACCCGAGAACTCAGTCGACGAGAAAATTATTTCCATAAGTAGATCTATGATGAAGTTAAACAAAAATGGGGAAAGTGGACATCCTTGACGGACACCACTTGAGGTTGCAAAACTAGATGACAGTTCGCCATAAGCTCTCACTCGACTAGTAGTGTTCGATTAAAGAGCCTTTACAAGATTTATATACTTCTGGGGTACGCCTTTCAATGACAGACACTGCCACAGAATCTCGCGATCTACCGAGTCAAATGCTGCTTTTAAGTCAAGAAAGACCACCATCGTCGGACGCCGATAAGTATGCCTGTGTTCTAGAACCTGACGAATGGTGAATATGTGGTCGATGCAGCCACGACCAGGTCTGAAGCCAGCTTGATTTTCTCGTGTTTGCAGTTCACGAGTTTTAGTTAGGCGTCTGATTATTATTGAGGCTAGTATTTTAGATACTATATTTGTTAAACTATTCCCTCTGTGGTTGTCACAGGATGATTTTGACCCTTTCTTATATATTGGGACGATAAGTGATTGTGACCAGTCAAATGGAATAACGTCTAACTCCCAGATCTTAGCTAAAATATTAGTCAACCTAACCGCTAAAATTGGACCACCATCCTTAAAGACTTCTGGAGCCAGTCCATCTGGACCAGCAGACCTTCCTCGTTTCAGATTATCTATAGCCTTTTGAACTTCAGCAAGAGTTGGGGGACCTACTTCAATGTTCCATTCACGCTGTCTGGGAATGGAAGGTAGTTGTAGAGTAGCTGAAGGCCAGCTGAACTGTTCTCTGAAATGTTCAGCCCATCGTTCTAAACGCCTGGACTGGGAGCAGATGAGTGTATCGTCTTTTTCCGATATAATCTCACTTACACTTGACTTATTAATTCCAGTTTCTTTTATTAGTCTGTAAAGCTGTCTTGTGTTCCCTATAGTTGCCGCCTTTTCCATCTCTTTTGCTTTCGTTGCCCACCACTGCTCACGGTCGTTTCTTAGACTTTTTCTTAACCTATATCTGATTTGTTGTCGCTCTTAATCATGTTCGGAACCTGATGGGACGAGTTTGCGAGAATCCATCAGTGTGATAGACTTTGAAGAAATCCACTGGTCCTTTGAAACTCTGTGGTTTAAGTTGCTAATAGATGTCACTGCTGCTTCCACAGCTGCTTGTATGTCTTTCCAAGCAACATCTGGGTCAGCCTAGTCTTCAGAACTACCTAAGTGTGAACTCAGTTGTTCTTGGAACCTATTTTTGGTTTTCTCGTTACTCAATTCAGTTCTAATGGGTCTTTTTAATGTGGTTTTTTTGCGTCTGGTGAGGCGCAAGCAGATGCGTGCCCGTATTAGGGCGTGGTCGGAGTCCAAGCAGGTACTCCAGAATGAGCGACAATCTTCTACCGACCCTCTCCAACGATGACTGATGGCAATATGGTCTATTTGAGTCCATCGTTGGTTTGGTGTAGGGGGTCGCCATGTTAGACGATGTCTCTCCTTATGCTTAAAATTTGTGTTTGCTAAAAATAAACGATTGTCTGATAACAGTTGCAGCAGACGATCACCATTATCTGTTCGCTGTGCCGGAATGCTAAAATATCCACCTAAATGCCTTTCTGTTTGGTTTAAGCTACCTATCTGAGCATTAAAGTCACCCCCTACGAGTACTATGTCTGAGCGTTTAGCTTTCTGAAGAAGTTCAGAAAGCTTTCTGTAAAATTCATCCTTCACTTCATCTGAGCTGCAGTCAGTGGGAGCGTAGGCAGAAACGACAAAAAGGCAACGACATGTGTCCCTATCCTTCCGAGTTCTTACGGAGCCGTTTAGCCGAACAGCACATAGACGACTGTTGATGGGGATCCACTCTAGCAGTGCTTGTTCCGCCCTCATGCTTAGTGCTATGCCTACACCTGCCAGTCCACGAGAACTGGCCATCGGGTCACCAGATACACGTAGGGTGTATCTCGTTGGCTCTCCGTTTTGCCGAGGTGAGGTCAAGTGAATGACCACACTGGAATCCTGTATGCGTGTTTCGGAGATACAGCACACATCAATGATACGAGATTCTAAGGTTTTAGCCAAGGAAGCCTGCTGACCGATTTGACATAGGGTGCGTACGTTGAAGGCTCCAATGTGTAGTGTGGAGCGAGGTTTCAGTAGACTTGGGACAGTGTTTTGAGCACTAGAATCGTTGGCTATGATGACACTTGAGGGGGAAGCTGAAAAAAGAAGTTTAGAGTTTGAAGTTGATGTAGGAGGAATAGTAGGAATTGAAGAGGGAGGTTGATTATGAATACAGTGGTCTTGAGTGCTGTTAGAAGTATGAGGGCGGTTATCATTTCCCGGTTGCCCACACCGTGGAAGGGTTCTCCTGAAGGTACCTGAAAAGGAAATCGGATTAGAAGTGGTCTTAGTGACCTGGGAGCGCGACTGCAGTGCCCAAGGGACAACTGCTTGAGGTCGATCACACACGACCTTTTTATGGTTAATTTTTGTGTTAGCTCCGTACTTGTTGAGACCTTACCGCCGGAGACGGATATCCGTGGGATAAGGCGAGGTGTGCATTTTTAGGGTCGACCTTTTCTAACCCCACCCCTCCTTGTGGGAAGGCAGCATCGCTATCTTGCTGGCTGTCTGAAGGAAACACCTTACTGCTGTCACACCTCTGTACAGTCAGCAGTACGACTTCGCCTTCGAACCTTGGGTTTGTTGCTTTTAGTCTTACCGCTCTTCAATCGACCTTTCTGACGTGGTAGGACCTTGAGGAACAGTTGTTCCAGTCAGTATAGCTCTGTTGCTTCATCACGATAAGCAAGCCCGACCACCACGTCAAGGTAGCAACAACGGTCGGGACATACAAGAAACAATAGTTATGTTATCAAAGTAGTCTTGCAGTCAACACTAGAAGTACCTAACATCTTATTTATGTAAGGCTGTAAAAAGAAGTATCGTATCATAAATGTCGATATATTTAAATGAACCGAAAACATGCTAAACATCTCACGTAAATTCCTTTTACATTGAGTAATGAAAAGTAATTAAAATAATTTTTAGCATTGCTTCTAACTTAGATTGAAAGCACT